CCTCCACAGCACCACAACACGCCAAAAAAAAAAACCAAACCCACAAACCAAACCAAAAAAACAAAAAACAAACCCCCCAAAAAAACAAAACCAAAAAACCGCAGAAACAAATATTTTCGCTTAAAACCACAAACTTACCTTCGGAGAGGGCAGTCCTGGCAAAACGGCTGTAACAATATGGACCACGTACGCGCTCTTCTGCCACCAACCACCTCCATGCTGCAAAGGGCTCCCCGAACATCCTTAAAATATTTCGCAAATGCGAAAAGTGAGACTTTTCTTCACACACACCCCCCCCCCCCCCACCTCCCCTTTTCTATTTCTCTCCCCGCCCCTCGCCCGCCCGAATCGCCGGGTGGGGAAGGAGGCGCCTTCCCCGCGGCTCTGCGAGCGATGCCGGGGACTGGAGCCCGGGGCCGCCGGGGTCACAACTTTGCGGGGCCCGGCGGCGGCTCGATGGGCTCGGCGGGCGGCGGCCCCGTGGCCCCCGCCCCACTCCCCCCTTCCCCACCTCCTGCGCTGTCCCACCCCCCCCCCCCCCCCCCCCAGCCGCTGCCGCCGCCGCTACCGCCGCCTGGAAAAATGCAGTGTGCCATTTTACACCGCCTTTGAAACGCACAGGACCAAAGTCTAGCTCTGGTTTTCGGTGACACTGCAAAACTAGGGCTCACTCCACGCAGTCCCCCTGCCTCATCCCTCCCTCCGCTGCGAGCAGCCGCCTCCGGAGAATTCATACAGAAAGCCAGCCGGAGAAAACAATTCCGAGACTTTGCCGTTTTCCCTCTGTCCCTTCTCCCCTCCTTCCGTCCCTTCCCCCGCCCCAGTCCCCCTCCCAACCCCGAAGCAAGTTTCTGCCGGTCAGCGCATCCCTCGGCCTTCCCCTGTGGCGTCGGAGCGCCCCGGCCCTGCCGTAGTTCGGCAACCTCGCAGAATCTGAAAAAGCCAGTCATGCCTGAAACAAAATCCACGATTCCTGGAAAGTGGGGAGGCTTGAATCCCAACAAATACCCTATTTACTTACAAATATAAATACCTACCTTATGAAAGAACTAAATTAACACTAAATTCAACAGATACATCTGCTACGGCAGGAATAGTTTTTCTATAAATACCGTTTTAAAAACCCCTCCTTATACTGACTGACAGAATTCTACCATGCTGCCCACAAACAAAATGGCTGTGGCACCGAGTTTTTTGGTTCCTCCCACTGTGCCTCCCCCTGGCCTCCAGGAAGTGGTAGAAATCCAAAATAAAATCCGCACGAAAAGTACAACGCATCGTCCAAACTCCACCAGACAGCACGGGGAGAGGGGCACGTTCACCAACCTTGTCTTTTCTCGAGGATTTTTATTGTTTTTAAAAGGGATCAATCACTGGGAATTTACATCACTCTGTAATTTGAACTTCCTGCTTTACATATTTATAAGGTCTTTCACCTATCTTGGCAGGCTTTCAAATTAAGTGGGTTGGGAAATTCGATGCTGTGGCTGTAGTTTGTGAGCTGAGTCAGGTAGTCCCTGCTGGAGCTGTGCTGGGAAAAGACGGGCAAATTCTAACGCTGCCCGTGCTCAGTGCGAGATAAAATTAAACACCCACCACCCCCACGCCCCATCCTACACACTCGTAAAGGAGTGCGTAGGCCCAGAGAGGACACTGCAATGAGGAAGCTCAGTGATAACTGGAATTTAGGCCTCCTGCACATAAATACACCTTTTGTAATACTTGCATTTTCGCATTTGTGGTTCACAGGGGTCTGCCTCATATGATTTCTGTAGAAATAACCTTAGATTTTCTGTTATTATGATCCTTTATAGTGTTGCAGCCCTTTAACTTTCTCGCCATTCATATTAAAATGAAAATATGTAGGAAAAGATGGCGTATTTAAATTAGAGATGATCATAAAAACGCCAATATATGGCCCTCTGTCTGGGCCCCCAGTCTCGCCCAGCAATAGTACAGCTCCACTTGCACACAGCCTCGTGGGCTCCTTAGGGCCTGATTCATTCCCCGTGAGAGTCCTTTTACTGCCTGTAGGAGGAGTTACAGTGGAGACAGGCTGTCAGACCTGCTGAGCCTGATCTAGCACTGTATTAAAAGACTTGCATTAATATTCCCATCCACTGCTATTCTAAACCCGTTTTCAGAGGCACTGAAAAAGCAGTGAAATTGGTGATGTTTTTTTCTGAATCATATCTCTCCATCTTAGATTTCAAAAAAATATCTGCAAAGAACTTGGAGCAAATTTAGTCATTACTATCATTTGTTTGTATCATCACACTATCTAGCATCCTTAATGCTGGACTATGAATATGATGATATACTGTACAGAGATATAGGGCAAAAAGATAATTCCTGCCCTGAAGAGCTCAAAAGTATAAGACAAAAGACAGCAGATGGCTACAGGCAGATGAGGGGAACAGTGAGACTGTATTGATCAGCTGGGGAGGCACAGCATCAGCCTAACTCTTGTTTCTGTGTACACATCATGGCGTAGAAGAAGACACAAGTGAGATTTGGTGAAGAAAATTAATTATCTTTGTACTTTTGTTCATGCTGTCCTCCTTTCTAGAGAGGTTTTCTTTCAACAGCCACAAGGATGTTTGTTTGGAAAAGCAGCAGATGAATTACAAAAGTCTAATCAAATTGGCATTAATTTTTTTTTTATAATGAAAATAGGGACATGGCTTCATGGTGGACTTGGCAGTACTCAGTTAATGGTTGGACTCAATGATCTTAAAGGTCTTTTCCAACCTAAATGATTCCATAATTCTATGAAAATAGACAAGGGGTGAGGTAGGCTACGTGAGCATTGAAAATACATGTGCAAAGCTTATGTTTGATATAGAAGAGGCAATGAAAGGATCCAAAAGGCATGGTGACACGCAAAAATCACAAACCAGGCCTGCTAGCAATTAACAAGCCCTAGAAAAAAAAGATACACAGTAGTTCAAATTATATGGACCTGAAGAGATGTAACATGCGATTTGTAGCAATGTAGGTGTTCTTAACCATTAATATGAGGACTATGTGTTGATTATCTGAATCTCCCCCCCCTAACTTGTATGTAGTGAATTCATAAGCACTGCTCTGAGTGGTAGTGTTTATTATATGAACATCTGCTTATCAAAGGATCGCCTCAAACTTGTTAATACAAGCAGATAAACACACAGGAGGGTTGGGACCAAAATGACCACACACACCGGGAAGGTTTCTCCTCCTGACACCCATTTTTTGAGAAGCCTTCATCTCCTTGCAGTGCTCCATAGATTAAATGCTCATCACTAACTGCCTTAAGCTAGCACAGGTCTGACAGGGGCCTCATCTGAATGGTTGAAGGAGCAGAAAGGGCCATGCACTCTTGTTTAGGGCATAGCTTTGTCCGGGAGTGCAAACCATGCTCTGGAGGAGAGATACGGTCTGTAGGCTCATGCCTCTCTCAGTACATTCCTTGTTATGTCATGTTGCTGCAGGTGTTTAAACTTTTTGTCTTTATTTCCCACATTTAGTACTGGCGTTACAGTAGTAACAGGAATATATTTATAAATTCTTTATAATTCTTTTGCATGAAATACCTAAGATAAGATTGTATTTAATGCAGCTACAATGTGACAAGCTCTGAAGTATGTTGGCAGGTCACGATATAACTTGGGGCTAAATACAGCAAAGTAAATAACTTTAAATGAGCTAGGCCTTGGTGAATGTTTGCGGAAATATGACATGTGACAAATGCGAAAGGATTTGTCTGGATTCTTTTGTTGCAGGCTAAACTAAACTGAACTCTATTACAAATTTCCTTCCGATTGAAAGATAACTAGTTCTGTAGATGAGCTGATGCATGGTGACTGTTTAAGGCAGGGTCATTCTCTATCATGTTTGATCTCATCATCAGTTTTAACTGAAAATAGTGTGTATCAAGTGCTAAAAGTTGAGAACTGAAATAGTGATAGACATGAACAGTGTGGGGTTTTTTGAGTAAGTGTTCCAGGAAAGGCTAAACAGTATGTTCTCGTGCCTTGGGAACAACCCTCATTTGCCTTGATGTCAAACTCCCTCAAATTTCTTATTGTGCAGAATAACTCTAAAGAGTACCACCATCCGTTTTTAAAGCTTCATCCAGTGCTTGGTGTGAGTGTTCATCTTGAGATTTTAGTTAAAAATATGGAAATAGAATATCTGTATGGGAGCAAAGAAGCAAACTATATTTTAGGATTTAGAGTAGCACAAAGAAGTGGCTAAAACCTGACAGAATTCAAATAATGTCTTCTCACTCAACTTAGTGAAAACACTTTTTACATTCTGCTTGCAGTATAATTGCTTTTATTATTCTTTATCTTTATCATTTTCATTAATTTTTATCTTGCTCATAAAGATTTAACTTTAATGCCATATTTTTCAAAGTAGGTCTCCATCTCTATACTTATAATAAACATACCACATTGATCTTCTTTTGACAATCTTTTCTTGATGTCTTTAGGAAGTGAATTACCAGTCTTGTTTAGTCAGTGAATCATTAGGTACATAGCAATATCTGAAGGATATTAAAGTGCTTTTGCAAGTAAGTGGTATGTAACTGATCATTTGTTTTCTTTTCATACAAATGGCATTGAATGTTTTTCAGTTGAAAGATCAACAAATGCGTAAATATTTTACATTTTTATTCAATAGATAATGTTCACATAGCTGCATAATTGCTCTGGAAGAATCTAAAAAACTGATTTACTGTAATTTCGAAAGTTCATAAATTACAGCATAAGAATGGATCATTGATGTCTGACTGCATTATAAAGGAGGACTTAGTCTTCCCTAGCTTAATTCTTGTTTGACCCAGGTCAGATATTTATAAAAAGCATCTAGTCTTGGCTGAAAATGTATAATGATGAAAAAAAATCACCATAATCTTCACTGAATTGTGACATTAATTACTTGACTCGGTTGAAATTTAATTTTAAATCACAGGCTTTGTAACTTATTAAACCTTCTCTTTCCATCTCTCTTTCTAGGTTCTGGTTTTGTTTGAGCATGTAAGACTCACAGAATGTTACTCTTTGTTATGGGTGTTATGTGACTGTAGTGCTTCTCCAGTTTATCACCAATCTCCATGCTTCACAAACCATGGACATCAGAAAGAGGTGCAATATGTGAACACCACACTACTTGCCACATACTGAAGTAAGGTATTTTTTCTCCATATCCCAAGATTTCATCTGCTTTCTTGCTCCATTAGCATTGCAGGTATGCTTTTTCATTAATTTATATCCTTTGCAGTTACTCCTTTTCGGTTCATACCTTCTCACTTCTTCTGTCAATAGGACTTAACATTGCTCTCGGAAATTTGCTTTCTCCTGCACACAGACAAACACACTGCTGTACTTCTGTCCACCTTAATAAGCTGATCTAAGTTGCCTTTTACCAGTAACCCATTCACTACTGTTTTCCTCTTATTTAAACTCTGCAGTACTGTGAGCTTCAGCAAGGATTTCTTTTCTCATTAATCTTCAAGCATTGTTTTTTTTTGTTGCAGACACTGAAGTTGCACTGCTGCTTTTCCTTCCTAGTGCTGGGACTTCATATTCAAATACTCTATGATTAGACCAAGTAGGTTTAAATTACAGTATTGTCACAGGCTGATATGTCATTCATCCTTTTCACATCAGAAGTCCTGCCAGTGACAGTTCAGATGGTTTAGGATGACGTTCAGTGGCAAAAAGTGTGGAAAAAGAGCCAAGTCGATATAGGTGGAGAGCCAGTTAATTACAAAAATGCATAGGAGTCTTTTGAAAATAAGAAACACAAATAAACCTCCAAAACATCTGCTGCTGTTTGTCGCCACAGTATGCCACACATCTCTGAGTATAACTTTCCCCCCATTCTTTCTGTTGTATCCTATGATGATCTGAAAGTATCTACTCGGATCTACTGTAGAGATTGGTCAGGTCATAACCTACATCTTTTTGTGCATTAATAATCTTTAAGAGTTTTGGAAAGTATCTTCTGGTGAGTTGTGGTAGGAATCAAAATGTGCCTGCATTTCCAAATTAAATCTATGCCCATATGAAAAAAGGACATGGAACTGTTGGAACAAGTATAGAGAAGGGCCACAAGGATGATCAGGGGACTGGAGCACCTCCTGTATGAAGACAGGCTGAGAAAGTTGTGACTCTTCAGCCTGGAGAAGGCTGCGTGGAGACCTCATAGCAGCCTTCCAGTATCTGAAAGGGGCCTCTAAGGATGCTGGGGAGGGACTCTTCATTAGGGACTGTAGTGACAGGACATGGGGTAACGTTTGTTACGCAGGGTAACGTTTGTAGCAGAGGGTGTTTTGATATTTGGTTGTGTTTGTTAACATTCATGTGTCTCGTCTGGCGGTTTACCTCTTGTACTACTATTTGAAAGCAACACCTCACTGACTGCTGCCTAATTCCACGTTCTCGAAAGCTCAACAAAGTGTTTTGATCCCAGTTTGGTTTAAACCGTCTGGGCCGAGCAGGTTTTCCCTGCAACACTCATGAAACACAAGTAAGTGACTCAGGTCTGTAGGATAGTATTAAAACCCTCGGGGAAGTATCGTGTAAGAAGAACATGGAGCTAGGAGAGGATCTGGTTCGAGACCATCTTAAGAACCTGAACGTGCACAAGTCCATGGGTCCAGATGAAATCCATCCGCGGGTCCTGAAGGAGCTGGCGAATGAAGTTGCTAAGCCACCGTCCGTCATCTTTGAGAAATCATGGCAGTCAGGTGAAGTTCCCAATGACTGGAAAAAGGGAAAATATAACCCCCATTTTCAAGAAGGAGAAAATGGATGACCCAGGGAACTACAGAGCAGTCAGTCTCACCTCTGTGGCTGGCAAAATCTTGGAGCAGGTTCTCCTGGATGGCCTGCTAAGGCACATGAAAAACAACAAGGTGCTTGGTGACAGCCAGCATGGCTTCACTAAGGGGAAATCCTGCCTGACCAATCTGGTGGCCTTCTAAGATGGGGCTAGGGAACTGATGGACAGGGGTAGAGCAGCTGATGTCATCTACCTGGACTTGTGCAAAGCATTCGACACTGTCCCGCATGACATCCTTGTCTCTAAATTGGAGAGACATCAGTTTGACGGATGGACCACTCGGTGGATGAAGAACTGGCTGGATGGCCTCACGCGAAGAGTTGTGGTCAGTGGCTCAGTGTCCAGCTGGAGACCAGTAACGAGTGGTGTCCCTCAGGGATCGGTGTTGGGACCGGTCTGGTTCAACATCTTCGTCACTGACATGGACAGTGGGATTGAGTGCACCCTCAGCAAGTTTGCCGATGACACCAAGCTGTGTGGTTCAGTTGATACCCTGGAGGGAAGGAATGCCATCCAGAGGGGCCTTGACACACTTGTGAGGTGGGCTGATGCCAACCTTATGAAGTTTACCCATGACAAGTGCAAGGTCCTACACCTGGGTGGGAGCAATCCCAGGCACAGCTACAGGTTTGGCAGAGAAGAGATTCAGATCAGCCCTGCGGAGAAGGACTTGGCGGTGTTGGTCGATGAGAAACTGAACATGAGCCAGCTTCAGTGTGCGCTCGCAGCCCAGAAAGGCAACCGCATCCTGGGCTGCGTCAAAAGGAGCGTGACCAGCAGGTTGAAGGAGGTGATCCTGCCCCTCTCCTGTGCTCTCGTGAGACCTCACTTGGAGTATTGTGTGCAGTTTGGCGTCCTCAACATACAAAGGACATGGAACTGTTGGAACAAGTATAGAGAAGGGCCACAAGGACCATCAGGGGACTGGAGCACTTCCCGTCTGAAGACAGGCTGAGGAAGTTGGGTCTGTTCAACCTGGAAAAGAGAAGGCTGCATGGAGACCTCATAGCAGCCTTCCAGTATCTGAAGGGGCCTCTAAGGATGCTGGGGAGGGACTCTTCATTAGGGCCTGTAGTGACAGGACATGGGGTAACGGGTTAAAACTTCAACAGGGCAAGTTTAGATTGGATGTAAGGAGGAAGTTCTTTACTGTAAGGGTGGTGAGGCACTGGAATGGGTTGCCCAAGGAAGTTGTGAATGCTCCATCCCTGGCAGTGTTCAAGACCAGGTTGGAAGGAGCCTTGGATGACATGGTTAAGTGTGAGGTGTCCCTGCCCATGCAGGGGGGTTGGAACTAGATGATCTTAAGGTCCTTTCCAACCCTAACTATTCTATGATTCTATATGCATAACATAGTAGAGCTTTCTGTTGCATTCTGTTCAGTTCCATTCCACTCTTCTGTTCTATTCCACTGCATTTTATCGCCTCCCCCTCCCTGCACTCACAAGTTGTACAATGAGGAGATCCTTATTTACCTGAAATGCCAAGGGAATTTCAGCACCAAAACCACTTTCAAAGACACAACTCAGAACGGTTACGGGTAGAAAGAGTATTTGATTTATTTCTAAATCAAGTGATTTGATTTAGTTTAGCTTAGTTAATTGTAGTCTGGTTTAGCTTAGACCCTTCAGTTTAGCTGGAAAAACCCTCCCTTGCAGCCTGAGAAAGGAAAGCCAGGGCAGGAGCGGTGCCGTGGTGGTGCGAGAGCAGTGCAAGAAAGAACCCAGCCAGAAAGGGCCAGGGAAGAGCTGACGAGGGCTGGTGCTCAGTACTCCAGAGGACAGCAGCAAGTCCCGGGGCCACGCTGGGGCCACCCTGGGAGTCCAGAAGGCTGCCTCCCCCCGGATGCGGGGCACGAGGGCCACCTGCGTGGAGCACGAGCAGCTGCCTTTGGGACACCATGACCCAAAAGAGCCCCGTGAAGGGGCTGTGCTCGGCTGCAGAGGAAGGCAAAAAACCCCAGGGACGCTTGCTAGTCCAGCCTGGGGGGAAAAAAGCCTTCCCCCCCCATCTGCAGGACACGAGGGGCCGCCTTCGTGGAGCATGAGCACCAGGCGATAACACAGCCAGAATGGACCCAGGAGCCCTGACAAGGGGTCATGCTCAGTGCTCAGAGGAAGGCAAAAAACCCCCGGGGACCGGTGCCAATCTGCCCCGGGGGAAAATTCCTTCCTGACCCCAGTGCTGGCGGTCGGCTACTCCCTGAGCATGTGAGCAAGACCTGCTCCCGCTCCACACGCTGGTTACGCCTCTAAGGGGACAAGGGGACACTGGCACTGCTTTTTCTGCTTCCACCTGAAGCCATCTCAGGGGCTTCCAACAACAGCAAAATGCCATTGGCCTGATGAATCCTCGGAGCACGAATCCTTCCTGTGCTTGGCAGTGGGAGCTCCAGAGCACTGGGGGAGGGCACTGAGCCGCCTGTGCATCCTTTTTCTTCTGGCTACTGCCACTCTCTCCCCAGGAGGTGAGGACGGCGAGCTCCCTGACAACCAAAGCAGGATCCCTCGATGATGCTTTGAGCGTGGCCCCTCCAGAAGCTGGAACCGCAGCACAGAACCTCCTGCAGCTTCGCAGCTTCAAGTGTTCCCTACCTCAGTCCCCCCCCTCACCTAATACCGTGGTGCCCAGCAGATGAGGACGGCGAGCTCCCCAATGTCTGAAACAGGATTTCCATCCATCCATAGATCCGATGAGCTTTGAGTGTGGCCCCTCCAGGAGCTGGAACTGCAGCACAGAACCTCCTGCAGCTTCTCAGCTTCAAGTGTTCCCTCCCTTAGTCCCCCCCCTCACCTAATGCCCTGGTGGCCAGGAGATGAGGACGGCGAGCTCCCCAGTGACTGAGGCAGGATTTCCATCCATCCATCCCTCCATCCATAGATCCGATGAGCTTTGAGCGTGGCCCCTCCAGGAGCTGGAACCGCAGCACAGAACCTCCTGCAGCTTCACAGCTTCAAGTGTTCCCTCCCTTAGTCCCCCCCTCACCTAATGCCCTGGTGCCCAGGAGATGAGGACGGCAAGCTCCTCAGTGACTGAGGCAGGATTTCCATCCATCCATCCATCCATAGATCTGATGAGCTTTGAGCGTGGCCCCTCCAGGAGCTGGAACCGCAGCACAGAACCTCCTGCAGCTTTGTGCAGCTTCAAGGGTTGCCCCCATCAACCCCCTTTCCCCTGCCAGGAATTCCCCCAGTGCCCCAAGGACTGCCTCTCGGATGCCCTCCGCCTGCCAGCTCTGTCCTGGTGGCAGCGCCGGGCACTCTGGCAGTGGGGCAGGGGAGGGCGCTGGACTCATACTGCCCCGGAGCATTGTGATGCTGCGTGGCCGGGTGCCGGCACTATG